TTTTATTAATTAAATTGTAATGTTTTTTAAATATTGCAATTTAATTGATAAAAAAATTTTCCCTTCCCTTCAACCTAAACATATTATTAATTAAACATTTGAAATGAAAATGAGAAGTACTAATATCTTGAAAAAGAAGAAGTCATTACTTTTTTTCTTCTTCTTCTTCTTCTTCTTTTAGAGAAAAAAATGATAAAATTATATTAGTACAAAAAAAGAAAGTTCATTAGGGTTCTTTTAGAAAGTGAACTCATAGTACATAAGTAAGATAAAATGCAACCACAAGAAATAAATATTTATTAAAAATAACAAAAGTTAAAAAAGGTGATATTCCCACCTTGAAAAGTTGATTAGTACACATATAGTTATCACTATTAACATATTGCAATGTTGAGTTAGAACAAAATTCATCTTGAGCTCCTTACAATTCAAAACGTTAGAGATATTGGTAAACAATAATTAAATGGTATAAAAACAACCAACCCCAATGTTAATTTTAGAAAATCCCTTAATAGCAATAAAGTTGGAGGTTATCATCTATATTTTAAAGTTTAACACTGACTCTATTAGTAACGCTTATATTTCTGACAAACCCCATAATCTAATTGTTATTATGATATTTGAAGATCCATCATCTGCCAATAGGTTTGAGAAAGGTAACCCCCTCAATATTACTGCTTAATAAAATATAAAGAAGGTTTATGGTAGTAAAATGTACCAAGTTATTTATTAGAAAATTAGACTGAATAAAAAAATTGACTAAAATTTAATAGTTTTATAAATAATAATAGCAAAACACTTAGAATCTTAAAATAAGAATTATTATTGAACTTTTCATTTTTTTTGTTACTAATTTCCCAAATAATGAATGAAAATAAAGCAATTCAAGGAATTTTGACATAAGAGAATCATCCATGCATTTACCTCTTGTTTGGTTTAAGGGAAACAAAATCCCCTCTGCTTGTTTGGTTAGACTAAGATGTAAAATAATAATAATAATAATAATAATAATAAAAGAAGGAAGGAAAAACCCCTCCATGTCCCTCCAATTTTTTGTTATCCAAATAGAGAAGTTTTTCCTTTTTTCCTCCTTTCCTCTTCCTTAAACCAAAAAAGACATTAGTGTTAATTCTTAATCAAACAATAAAAAAAAAACAATAGCATTCTTAGTATTTATAATAGGAATAATTTTGTTTCAAATTCTCAATAAATATGAATATTTTAATTGTTAGTATGGAGATATTAGCAATGGTAGTAAGGCCCCACGCGATGAAGAGCACTCTCCATCCCCATGGTGTTTTTTTGAAGGAGAAAAAAATCTTCCCTCATCTCAATTTACAATAATTTATAAAAATTTATCATATGATTTTTTTTCTTTACAATATTAAATAAAAAATGTGTTGAGTAGTTAAATTAGACTTCAATTGCATAATAAATATTGGGTTTTGTCATTACAATGAATGATAAATTAAGTAAATACA